CACGATGAGGGAGCCGCTCTGGGGAAGGTCCTGGAAGGTTCTGGAAGGTTCTGGGAGGGTTCCGGAAGGTTCCAGAAGGTTCCATGGATTCCCTACTTCCCGGCGATGAGGGGGCTGCGCAGCACCACGATGACAGAGCCGCTCTGGGATGGTTCTGGAAGGTTCTGGAAGGTTCCATGGGGATCTGGGAGGGTTCCGGAAGGTTCTGGAAGGTTCCAGGGGTGCCCATCCCCTACTTCCCGGCGATGAGGGGGTTGCGCAGCACGACGATGACGGAGCCGCTCTGGGGAAGGTTCTGGGAGGTTCTGGAAGGTCCCATGGGGATCTGGGAGGGCTCCAGAAGCTTCCAGAAGGTTCCATGGATTCCCTACTTCCCGGCGATGAGGGGGCTGTGCAGCACGACGATGACGGAGCCGCTCTGGGGAAGGTTCTGGGAGGTTCTGGAAGGTCCCATGGGGATCTGGGAGGGCTCCAGAAGCTTCCAGAAGGTTCCATGGATTCCCTACTTCCCGGCGATGAGGGGGCTGTGCAGCACGACGATGACGGAGCCGCTCTGGGGAAGGTTCTGGAAGGTTCTGGAAGGTCCCATGGGGATCTGGGAGGGTTCCAGAAGCTTCCAGAAGGTTCCATGGATTCCCTACTTCCCGGCGATGAGGGGGTTGCGCAGCACCACGATGACGGAGTCTCCGCGCAGGAACATCTTGGAGATGTAGCGGTCCTTGTTGACCGGCTTGGATTTCTTCTTGCCTTTGCCGCTCTTGGGCACCTCCGTCCACATCTCCTTGACGTTCTCCAGCACCATGTTACAGTGCCTGGGGGGGAAAAACGGGATTTTGGGGGGAAAAAATGGGGTTTTGGGGGAAAAAAAATGGGGTTTTGGGGTCAGGAAATGGAGTTTGGGGGGGAAAAATGGGATTTTGGTGGAAAATGGGGATTTTGGGGAAAAAAAATGGAGGTTTGGGGGAAATCAACAGGATTTGGGGAAAAAAATGGGGGTTTTGGGGGGGAAAATGGGATTTTTGGACGAAAAAAGGGATTTTTGGGAGAAAAAAAAGGGAATTCTTTTGGGAAAAATGGGAATTTTGAGAAAAAAGGGATTTTGGTGGGGGAGAAATGGGATTTTGGGGAAAAAAGGGGATTTGGGGGGAAAATGGGATTTTGGGGGGGAAATGGGATTTTGGGGGGAAAAATGGATTTTTTGGGGAAAAAAATGGGGTTTTGGGGAAAAAAAGGGATTTTGTGGGGAAAAAAAAGGATCTGCTAAAGACCCAGGGGAACCCATGAGGACACCGAGCTGAACTTGGGAGAACCATGGTGACCCTGGGGACACCGAGGGGACACCGAGGACACCACGGGGACACTGTGGTGACCCAGGTGACACCTTGGGGACACCTTGGGGACATCACAGGGACCTTGGTGACACCTTGGGGACACTGAAAACCCCGGAGATGAATCTGCTGAAGGCCCAGGGGAACCCTTGAGGCCACTGAGCTGAACTTGGGGGAACTGAGACCACCACGGGGACAACATGATGACACCACGGGGACACTGTGGTGACCCTGGGGACACCTCGGGGACACCTTGGGGACATCATAGGGACCCTGGTGACACCTTGGTGACACTTTGGGGACACTGAAAACCCCGGAGATGGATCTGCTGAAGGCCCAGGGGAGCCCTTGAGGCCACTGAGCTGAACTTGGGGGAACTGTGGTGACCCTGGGGACACCTTGGGGACACCGAGGACACCACGGGGACACTGTGGTGAGCCAGGTGACACCTTGGGGACATTGAAAACCCCGGAGATGAATCTGCTGAAGGCCCAGGGGAGCCCATGATGACACCGAGCTGAACCTGGGAGAACTGAGACCACCACGGGGACACTGAGAACACCACGGGGATATCATAGGGAGCCAGGTGACACTCTGGGGACCCTGGGGACACCTTGGTGACACCTTGGGGACACTGAAAACCCTGGAGATGAATCTGCTGAAGGCCCAGAGGAGCCCATGATGACACCAAGCTGAACCTGGGAGAACTGAGACCACCATGGGGACACCATGGGGACATCATGGGGACTGTGGTGACCCCTTGGGGACACTGAAAACCCTGGAGCTGAATCTGCTGAAGGCCCAGAGGAGCCCATGATGACACCGAGCTGAACCTGGGAGAACTGAGACCACCATGGGGACACCATGGGGACATCATGGGGACTGTGGTGACCCCTTGGGGACACTGAAAACCCTGGAGCTGAATCTGCTGAAGGCCCAGAGGAGCCCATGATGACACCGAGCTGAACCTGGGAGAACTGAGACCACCATGGGGACACCATGGGGACATCATAGGGAGTCAGGTGACACTCTGGGGACCCTGGGGACACCTTGGGGACACCTTGGGGACACTGAAAACCCCGGAGATGAATCTGCTGAAGGCCCAGGGGAGCCCATGATGACACCAAGCTGAACCTGGGAGAACTGAGACCACCATGGGGACGCCATGATGACACCACGGGGACACTGTGGTGACCCTGGGGACACCTTGGGGACACCTCGGGGACACCCTGGGGACACGGGGCCGCACCTGTCGAAGGCCTTGACGCGGCCCAGCAGCTTCTTGTTGTTGCGGCAGTTGATGAGCACCTGCGTGTTGTTCTTGACGCTCTGCGTCAGCACCGACAGCGGGCCCGTGTTGAACTCCTCCTCCTCGCGCTTCTGCAGCTCCTCGGGCGTCATCTCGCTCTTGGGCTTGTTCAGCAGGCTCCTGGGGACACCAGGGGACATTGGGGACATCAGGGACATCGTGGGGACATCAGGATACCAGGGGGACATCATGGAAATAAGGGGGACAGCAAAGGAACACGGGGACATGGAGATGGTTCTTGGGGTCATCTCGCTCCTGGGCTGGTTCAGCAGCTCCTGGGGACACCAGGGGGACATCACGGGGACATTGGGGACATCACAGGGACATCAGGGACATCGTGGGGACATCAGGATACCAGAGGGACATCACAGAAATCAGGGGAACATCAAAGGAACACGGGGACACGGGGACATGGAGATGGTTCTCGGGGTTTGAGGCTCTCAGGGGGGTTTTGGGGTCCCAGAGGGGAATTTGGGGAAATTTTGGGGGGTTTTGGGGGTCCTAGAGGGAAATTTGGGGGAACCCGGGGGAATTTTGGGGCTCCCAGAGTGAAATTTGGGGGTCCCAGGGGGGAATTTGGGAGTGCCGGGGGAGATTTGGGGGAATTCAGGGAGATTTTGGGGTTCCAGAGGGAAATTTGGGTGAATTCAGGGGGATTTTGGGGTTCCTAGGTGGATTTTGGGGGTCCCAGAGGGGATTTGGGGATAATTTGAGGGATTTTGGGGGGTCCCAGAGGGGATTTGGGGGTAATTTGAGGGATTTTGGGGTCCCAGAGGGGATTTGGGGATAATTTGAGGGATTTTGGGGGGTCCCAGAGGGGATTTGGGGGTAATTTGAGGGATTTTGGGGTCCCAGAGGGGATTTGGGGATAATTTGAGGGATTTTGGGGGGTCCCAGAGGGGATTTGGGGGTAATTTGAGGGATTTTGGGGTCCCAGAGGGGATTTGGGGATAATTTGAGGGATTTTGGGGGGTCCCAGAGGGGATTTGGGGGTAATTTGAGGGATTTTGGGGTCCCAGAGGGGATTTGGGGATAATTTGAGGGATTTTGGGGGGTCCCAGAGGGGATTTGGGGGTAATTTGAGGGATTTTGGGGTCCCAGAGGGGATTTGGGGATAATTTGAGGGATTTTGGGGGGTCCCAGAGGGGATTTGGGGGTAATTTGAGGGATTTTGGGGTCCCAGAGGGGATTTGGGGATAATTTGAGGGATTTTGGGGGGTCCCAGAGGGGATTTGGGGGTAATTTGAGGGATTTTGGGGTCCCAGAGGGGATTTGGGGATAATTTGAGGGATTTTGGGGGTCCCAGAGGGGATTTGGGGATAATTTGAGGGATTTTGGGGGGTCCCAGAGGGGATTTGGGGGTAATTTGAGGGATTTTGGGGTCCCAGAGGGGATTTGGGGATAATTTGAGGGATTTTGGGGGTCCCAGAGGGGATTTTGGGGTAATTTGAGGGATTTTGGGGGGTCTCAAAGGGAATTTCGGGGGTCGCGGGGGGCGTGGCCGGCGCTTTGTGGGCGTGGCCTCAGGGGCAGCGGGTGACACGTGCCCAAGGGGGCGTGGCCAACGGAATGAGCGGGACATTCTGTCCCTGAGTGGGCGTGGCCGTGCCCAGGTGAGGGGGCGTGGCCAGGAGCAGACCACGCCCACAAATGAGGGTGTGTGCTCCAGGGGCGTGGCTAGGAAGTGGGCGTGGCCTATTAAAAGCGTGTGGCATAAGGGGGCTGCATCCAAAAGTGGGCGTGGTCCCCAAAAGGGGGCGTGTCCCACCGGCGGGGGCGTTCCAACCGGGTATTCTAATGAGGGGCGTGGTCCTGAGGGGGGCGTGGCTCTCCCTGAAGGGGCGTGTGCACAAGGGGGCGTGTCCCGTGCCGGCATTTCGGGGCGGGGGGCGTGTCCCTGAGGCGGGATCCACCCCCCTTTGGGGGTCCCAGTTAGAGCCTGGTACTGGGACCAGATTGTACTCTGTACTGGGACCAGTTAGAGCCTGGTACTGGGACCGGTTAGCAACCGGTACTGGGACCAGTTAGAGCCTGGTACTGGGACCAGTTAGCGACTGGTACTGGGACCAGTTAGTGCCTTGTACTGGGACCAGTTAGCGACTGGTACTGGGACCAGTTAGTGCCTTGTACTGGGACCAGTTAGTGCTCTGTACTGGTCCCAGTCAGCGCCTGGTACTGGTTCCAGTTAGTGATCGGTACTGGGACCAGTTAGTGCCCTGTACCGGTCCCAGTTAGTGCCTGGTACTGGTCCCAGTTTGCATTGTGTACTGGTCCCAATTAGTGCCCTGTACTGGTCCCAGTTTGTACCATGTACTGGTCCCAGTTTGGACCCTGTACTGGTCCCAGTCAGAGTCTGGTGCTGGTCCCAGTCAGAGTCCAGTGCTGGTCCCAGTTTGCACCCTGTACTGGTCCCAGTTAGAGCCTTATACTGGTCCCAGTTTGTACCGTGTACTGGTCCCAGTTTGCACCCGGTACTGGTCCCAGTTAACATCCCGTATTGGTCCCAGTTTGTGCCCTGCGCTGGTCCCAGTTAGTGCCTGGTACTGGTCTGTACTGGTCCCAGTTTGCACCCTGTACTGGTCCCAGTTCTGGTCCCAGTTAACATGCCGTACTGGTCCCAGTTTGCGCCCTGTACTGATCCCAGTTTGCACCTTGTACTGGTCCCAGTTTGTGCCCTGCCCTGGTCCCAGTTTGCGCCCTGTACTGGTCGCAGTTTGCACCCCGTACTGGTCCCAGTTTGTACCGTGTACTGGTCCCAGTTTGTGCCCTGTGCTGGTCCCATTTAACACCCCGTACTGGTCCCAGTCTGCACCCTGTACTG